ATCTATCTATCTATCTATCTATCTATCTATCTATCTATCTATCTATCTATCTATCTATCTATCTATCTATCTCTATCTATAAAAATGTGTGTGTGTGTGTGTGTGTGTGTGTGTGTTTCAGCATAACTCTAGAACTCCCTTGAGTAATTTCAACCAAACTTGGTACACAGATGACTTAATCTCTGGAAAAAAATATTGTGTGGGTAATACACCCCTAGTATCTGTTAAGATACAGCCTGTTGTGCTTCAAAATGGCTTCTACTGTACTGTACTGCCGTAAAATGGCTTCTACTGTACTGTACTGCCGTAAAATGGCTTCTACTGTACTGCCGTAAAATGGTTTCTGCTGTACTGCCACAAAATGGCTTCTACTGTACTGCCGTAAAATGGCTTCTACTGAACAGCGCAGTGGAGATGCCATGGTAACAGCTTCACAAGAGGATCCCTCTGCTAAGGGAGGAAAATCCAACGTAAGAAATTACATTTGGTCCGGACATTTCCTCCCTATAAATAAATACCCGGGCAATGCCAGGTTATCAGATAGTGAGAAATAAATCAACTGGAACTTAATGTATGGTCCTGATTCTTTGTGCCTGACAGTTTGGGTTAAAATTTCCATCCTCTTCAGGAGCCCTGGTGGCCTAGTGGTCAGAATGCAGCATTGCAGGCAAACTCTGCCCGCAGTCTGTAGTTTGATCCTGACCTGACAGGGATCAAGGTTGACTCAGCCTTCCATCCATCTTTAAGTTTGATAAAATGACCCAGATTGTTGGAAGCAATATGTTGAAATTGTAAGCCAAGAGTGCTGTAAAACACCATGGGGCTCTACATAAGCCTAACTGCTATTGCTATTTCCCACCATGGAATGATGGGAAATGTCCTTCCCTTTTCAGCAATTCTGATCGGAATAGTAGTAATGAGCTCCCCTCCGGGAGGAGGTTTCAAAGTATTTCTAGCAGGACAACCACATTCTGTCAGTGCTTTTTTCCCTGTGCCAACCATCTGGTAATCTCACAAGATACCTTTTTCTCGCCATAAACATGTATGCATCCAAACTGTGTGGTTTCTCTGTGTCATATAATATATGTGGGTATATACATAATTTTGTATTTATTTATTTATTTATTTAGTCATGATTATGTAGTTAAAGTTGGAGGTAGTGACCCTGTAAAAGCTCCATGCAATGAAATTTCATTTTTAATGTATGCCAGTTAGTGTACATTCAAAGTGACAATAAAGTTATTCTAATCTATTCTAGTCCAGTCCTATTCCTATATTTCTATTCTATTCCATTCTATTCCCATTCCCCATTCTCTTTCCTATATTCTATACCCATTCCCTATTTTATTCTATTCTATTCTATTCTATTCTCATTCCCATCCCCATTCTCCATTCTCTTTCCTCTGCTCTATTCTATTCCATTCCCATTCCCCATTCTCTTTCCTATATTCTGTTCTGTTCTATTCTATTCTATTGCCATTCCCGTTCCCCATTGTCTTTCCTCTGTTCTGTTCTGTTCTGTTCTGTTCTGTTCTGTTCTACTCTACTCTACTCTACTCTACTCTACTCTACTCTACTCTATTCTATTCCCATTCCCCATTCTCTTTCCTATATTCTATTCTGTTCTGTTCCATTCCATTCCATTATATTCTGTAGCTGTTTTATCAGATGGACATGTCCTAGCTCCCTTACTTGTCCATTCCAGAGCCTTCAAGAATGTGACAGAATATGATGGGCAGGACGCTTGTGGTTCTAACAGCTGGAACATGGTCGATGTGGACCTGCCTTCAAATAAAGACGACAATCCAGGGATTTTACTGCAGCCGCTGAAACCGTGGACCCAATATGCAATTTATGTCAAAGCCGTCATGCTCACTATGATGGAGAACTACCACCCTCATGGAGCGAAGAGCGA